GGCTCTGTCTCAAAAAAAAAAAAAAAAAAAAGCCAACATTGTACTTTCAAGACTTGGAAAAAATGATTCTACATGTTGTATGGAACCAGAAAAAAACCCCATATAGCTAAGGCAGTTTTTAGTAATAAAAACAAAGCCAGGGGCATCAGCATAACAGATTTTAGGCTGTACTACAAAAGCCGTAGTGGTCAAGACAGCATGGTACTGGCACAAAAGTAGAGACATAGACATTTGGAATTGAATAGAAGACAAGGAAATGAAACTAACATCTTACAATCACCTAATCTTTGATAAACCAAATAAGAACATGCATGGGAGAAAGACTCCCTATTCAATAAATGGTGCTGGGAGAACTGGATAGCCACATGTAAAACACTGAACTGGACCCACACCTTTCTCCATTCACAAAAATGGATTCAAGATGGATAAAGGACCCCAATGTAAGGCTTGAAACAATAAAAATCCTCAAAGAAAGCATAGGAAAAACACTGGAAGCTATTAGCCTAGGGAAATACTTGATGAAGAAGACTGCTGTGGTAACTACAACAACAAGACAAATAAACAAATGGGATGTAATTAAACTGAAAAGCTTCTGTATAGCTAAAGACACAACAACTAAAGCAAACAGATAACCTACACAATGGGAAAGGATATTTGCATATCTTGAATCAGACAAAAGCTTGATAACTAGGATCTATAGAGAACTCAAATTAATCCACAGGTAAAAAGCCAATAATCCCATATAGCAATGGCCAAGAGACATGAATAGAACCTTCTCTAAAGAAGACAGACATATGGCTAGCAAACATATGAAAAAATGCTCATCATCCCTAATTATTAGAGAAATGCAAATCAAAACCACCCTGAGACACCATCTAACCCCAGTGAGAATTGCCCATATCACAACATCTCAAAATTGCACATGCTGGCATGGATATGGAGAGAAAGGAACACTTTTACACTGCTGGTGGGACTGCAAACTAATACAGCCTTTTTGGAAGGAAGTATGGAGAACCCTCAAAGAACTCAAGCTAGACCTCCCATTTGATCCTGCAATCTCATTACTGGGTATCTACCCAGAAGGAAAAAAATCCTTTTATCATAAAGACATTTGCACTAGGCTGTTTGTCGCAGCTCAATTTATAATCACCAAATGTGGAAACAGACTAAATGCCCACCAACCCAGGAATGGATTAACTACCTGTGGTATATGTACACCATGGAATATTAAAAAAAAATGGAGACTTTACAGCCTTTGTATTAACCTGGATGGAAGTGGAACACATTATTCTTAGGAAAGCATCACAAGAATGGAGAAGCATGAATCCTATGTACTCAATTTTGATATGAGGACAATTAATGACACGGTGGGGGAAGGAGAGAGCAGAGGAAGGGAAAGAGAGAGAGGGGAGGAGTCTTGGTGTGTGACACACCTTTTGGGGGCAATACACATTGTCAGAGGGAGTTTACCTAACAAATGCAATCAGTGTAACCTGGTTTCTTATACCCTTAATGAATCCTCAACAATAAAAAAA